TACTACGACGGAGGTCGCGCCGGCTCTGAGGTCTCCCTGCGGCCCACAGTCTCCCAGCTGGCCAACTACCGGACTCCGACGCCCTTCATCTCAGACTCCAAGGTATCCACTCCCGCTCCGGTCAACCACCAGGTGTCCTTCACCTTGTCTCGTAGCAGCACCAGTTCTCGAACCCTCAGCCGCAGCCGGTCCCGGACGACCGCCAGTAGCTCGCCGAATAAACCTCTTCCTGAGGTGGTCGCGAAGAGAACGCTTGAATCGAAGTTTTGATTTCTGGGTTTTTTCCGTCGGCGACTTCGAGTCAAACCTGAAGTTACCCCAGGGTGCTCCGAACTTCTGAAACTTTACGCAACACGTATTATTATTATTATCATCATCTTTATTATTGCTAACATTATTTCTTACCCAAAATAATAATATGTACAATGTAGTATGTTTTCAAACATTTCCTAACTTTTATTTCAGACTAACTCATATTCTGTCTATTTATTCAAACACTTTCATTTGAAGTTACCACAACACTAACCACTCCCAGAGGCGAATTCGACACACTATTATACAAAAGTTTGACCAAAACTGTGCATATACCTTAAATCGGATAGTCATAATAGGACAGCGTTTAGGCTTATTTGGTCCATCTCTTGTCACAGACTCATCATCTCTCATCTTGATACTGTGAACATTTGGAGCCAGAAAGCTTGTGTTGAAAATATTCGAGTACCCGTTACTTTCCAGAAACGAAGCAAATGCAAAAAGCTCTAAATGAATGGCTATTAAGTCACAATGTTCATGTTGAGGGAATTCGCCTCTAAATGTTCTGTGTGCAAACATTATTGTCACCGTTTCCCTTTAACAATTATATTTAGGATTATAGTGAACCCAGACTTATTTCCAACATTGTCTGCACGTATGGGTTTCTTTTGTCGTTCTTTTATATCAACCAAAATGCGTTTTGTTTTGCTTTTTTTATTTAGAGATGAGGAAACAAAGCACATTTTATCAATAATTCCTTGCACTCAGCCGATATTTCCAGGTGCACGATGACTTAATTTATCCACTCACACCACAGAATGAACAGTATAGACATTTGCAGAACATACATGCTCATGGGTTTTGACGGAACTTTGTCAGTGACTTTTTATCTTGACATTACCTCAGTGACCATGACTGGTTGAATATTTAGCCTTAAGTTCAGAGATTTGTACAGAATAATATAAAGGTTTGTTTCTCTAAATTTAGTTGTTTTGTTTTTTAACTAGCAGTCTCAAAAATTGTATATTTTTTTTGTTTTGTTCTTTCTTCCAATCGCTAACCACCCCAGTATTTTTTCTTTTTAATGTTTCGGTTTGATGAATATTTCGGTGTCATTTTATGTTATTGAAATATGTGTGATATAACTTGATTTTGTATCAACCTGATTGTTTTGACTATCTATATCCTTGGGTGTTTCTATACTACCATTTCTGTGATGATTTACGTAATGAATACTTTGATGATTTATGGGTGCTGAGTTTCTTACGATGTTTTTGAACTCTAATTGATGTTGTTCTTAAATCAGTATTTGTTTCTTTTTTCTAGTATCAATTTTGTTTTCTCGTGTAAGTTTCAATGTGCCTGAACGATTCAGGACGGCATTGTTACTCTTTTGTTTTCGAGGGGGACTTGTTACTGTCTTTTTTTTTTCCTTATGATAATTGTTTAAACCTAGTTTGTTCTAGTTCTAAAATAAAATGTCCATACCTCTAAAAAGAATTTTAGTAAAGGAGATACTTTGCGTTATCTCTTTGTGTATTGTTTTTAGTATTAATGAGTTTAGTTTTCTATTAAGTTCAAACGAGATACACTAGTTCGTTTACACCTTAATCCGATTTTCAATCAAAGAGATATCATTTCTTTATCTCTTTGTAGTTTACAGAGTTTATTCTTTTATTAGCTCCTAACAAGAATCTTTACAACTTTTCACCTGTATCAGAGTTTCAACCAGGGAGGTATAACTGCTTCATCTTTCTTTATATCTATATAGATTTTTCTTTTATCAGTTCCAAACGAGATGCATTAACAGCTTTTCGCCTGTATGTCACTTAAAGGTCGATGTCGAATTAGGCTCCAGAGCTGTGACTCCTGTACTAAAGGTAGAACCGGCATCTACTGAAACGGTAACTGACACCAAGGTACAAGTAGACTCTTTCTGAGCTTGTTTGACGTCATCTCTACTTATTTCTTAGTGCACAAGTTAACTTTTCTTTGTTTGTTTATTTGTGTTGGTTTTCCATGCGCCCAG